CTGTGCATCTCCTGCATTAGAGTGCGCCCTTCATGAGAGGAGGACATTCTCAAGGGCTCCTTATTTTCTAGAGAACCCCTTGCTTAGTCTTTGCCACATGTTCGTGGTGTACACTTTCTTTAAAATTAATTCTGGAGCAAATTTTGACTTTAATGCCAAATCTTTGAGATTGGGTATTTCCTGGGTCATTTCTTTTTTATTACCTGTCCTAGGTCAATTTATTTTAAAAACAACCACAAAAGCAATCATGACTATTTCTCAATGAAAATTAAATGGAACATTACAAATACAAGTGTTATTCCTAGATTGATACTCAGACTCCAGCCATTTTTGAGCGATACTGAGATAAATGTATTGCCATTAACTTTTCAAAGAGCTGTGTGGAAATTATTGAATGAAAAGTAACCTGGTAAAGTGTGAGTTAGAATGACTGGATAATGGGGTATTCAGTTTGGAAGAGAAATCCAAGATGAACTAGATCATCTTCCTTATTTGAAAGCTGAGGCCTGGAGCTACTGTTCTGTAGAGATAAGTTAGAAACTTATACAAAGATGACTTTTAACGTAAAGATTTCTAATTCATTTCCAGTAATATATATTTTTTTCTGATATCACACAATTCTTTCATAGGCAACACTACACATGCAATCAATACAGGAATTTATGATAAGAATTTATCAAAAGTCTTAGAAGCTGGCCCTTCATTTTGCTAAGATTGTGTCTGGTCACCTCAGCAATTATCTTCACTGGGGTGTACAACATTAGTGATTAATCTGCTCCCTACTCTGCCCTCACCCCAAAGCCTTATTAGAGTTCAGTAAGTTGGATACCAGAAGTCAAAGTTACCTTTTTAGGCACCTTTGGAAGAAGTTGCGTTTAAATTTGAAATATATATATATATATATATATATATATATATGTATTTGAGACCATCATACACTATAGGAACAGCAATCACACGTTCTCATAGTTTAATCTTCATTTCTAAGAGATCATCTAGCAGAGATTTTATTCCAGTGTTTTGTGAATTTTACAACTCAAAAGGAGCTCTGCTTATCTGAGAAAGAGAAGGAACTGAAAATGCCTGTGTGATCTAAGTGTTGACAAATTGCTGGTCTCTTAATGACTTGCTTTCGGTGGAATTCCATGGAAGCAATGACTTTAATATTTGTGAAATTAAGCAACCAAAATAATCAAATGCCCAAATCTAATATACATATATATCTGTGTGTGTGTGTGTTTGTGTGTGTGAATAGTCACAGTAGAAAATAGATAATTATAAGAGAATAATGTGGATCTTAAGGAATTAATTGCTTCCTTTTACCCTCACTAATTCTTTAAAAGGGAAAGAAAGCATGAAAAAGGGAGAGACAAAGCTTATTTAAAGACCTCATTCACCACAACATGGTGGGATACATTTAAAACTGTGAACAGCCCAGGAAGCTTGTGCTGTTCTTTCCTGGAGAAGGACTGAATTTCTGAAGAATTGAGTACAAACACAGGATTGTCAGGCTATCCTTGAATACACAGTACTGGATCCATACAATTGAACAGCAATAAAAAATATTCTTTGTATATAAAGCATTTCCCAGATACCAAAAGAACAAACAAAAATCCCACCCCTCCTGCTATGCTCCTAGGCATACTATTTACTTATTTGGGGAATGTTTCACAGCACTTATCTCGGCAATGTTTTCTGGTTTATGAGGCTGGAATCAAAGGGACCACCACCCCTCACCTAAGGGTTCATGGTTCCCATAGCACCATACTGCAGGGTCGGTGTGAACAACCACTGCATACACTGAGCTTGTTGTGATGGAGACCGGGGTCTGGCAGCCTTAGCCATGCTCACCAGAGGCTCTACTCATATGAAGCTGTCATTCAATCTGAACGCCAATGGACATTATTCTGCAGTTGATTTGGCCCTACTATTGTCTTCTTGGTAGGTGTGATGTTCTATTATTATCAAAACAGACTAATTAATGAAGCCCTAAAAAACAGCACTATTCCTTCTCCAGAGGACCTTGCTATTGCTATTTAGAAATAATCTAAATCATTGGAGATTTGATAATTTACAAATATCGGGTCCTTAATCTACAGCAAGGTAGATACTGGGCCAGAGTGTAAAACATAGAACCCTTAGCGTACATAGGGAAATCAGAAAGAAATGTTGATGCTGATTGTTCCACATCATTTCTATTCTAATGAGCATAAATTGGTCATGTGTTTTGACAAACAGCATTCCACAGCAGTCACTGGCAAATTAGTATAACATGTTCTTTATAAAAAGACTTATCAGAAAATGCTTAAAAGCAAAAAATAACAGCTGACATTCATTCTCCAATAAATAATGAAGATGCAACCTACTTAATTACAAATCTCCAATGATCTATTCACACAGTAAAGACAGGAAAACAAGACAAAGTGAAAGGTGTCTTGTGGAGATTAAGCACTTCTAGTCATAGGAGCTTCAAGGACAAAGCACTGATGGCTCCAGGTGTCTGCCCTGTTAGATCGACTTTGAAAGTCTTGATGCCGTCAGCACTTGTCAACTGGTGCCCAAAGATGTGCATTTTGAGCTTACTTTCTACAGCCCAGCTTCATGTTCCAGAAAAAGACAAATAACTACTGAAAGTAACCATTAATATTTGTTCTTTAAGGAGGATCTTATCTTGGCTATCATTTAAGGAATTAGCTCTAGCTCTAAACTTTATGTCAGACTAGTGGGTATGCCTCAGTTCATGCTCCCTGGAATGCACTGGGGCTGTATAATCATAACAGATGTGTCTACTTCATTATTTAAAATAAGGGGTTGTATCAAGACTCGCATGATTAACAATCTTAAATATTTTCAGAGTAAAGAATATGTTAAAATAACTTCCCTACTTTCTAATTAGGTGAATTCTCCATGGATCCTTTTGATAAGTAATAGGTACTATTTTAGTAAAAAACAAAAACAAGAATAATGTTCACTTCAACAGATTTGTGGATCCTGCCAGTAAATGTTTGATAATCGTAATACATTAGATACCCAACCTATGGATTTTTATACAGCTGTAAGTTAAGATCATCTTCTAACTTTCTCCCGAAGATTGTTTTAAATGAGAATTTAGATGATTTAGTCATTAAAAAATTATAGTAATCTTTTAATATCTTAATACTAAAACCTTGATATTCAAAGCAACAGACGTATACGGGGGCAATAAATAAATATAACGCATCCTTATGTTAAACATAAAATGCAATTCTACTAGTGTTTTCAACATTTGAGACCTTGAATTTTTACTAAATAGTGTTGATAAGAAGACAGTGCTCTTTCTTTTCCCTAAATAGCATTATGTCTATTATTAAAGAATAATCTCAAAGAGTAATTTTTAAAGTATTTTCAACAGAAACAACTTAACCTCCAATAAGAATCATACAATGATTGATTCAGAAATAGCTTCAACCCAATGCCCTTTCAATGGAAAGTGACTCTTTCAAGAGGACATTTTAACCAACATTTTCCCAAACTGTAGTAAAACAAATATTTTATATACTTTCAAATACTGTGCCTTTTTATTTAAAACAGTGTAAACATAACAACTCAACACCACCAGAAATTGGAAAAAGACTGGTTATGTGAACACTACTTTCCTTGAATGCCCCATCAAAGTAAGGATAAATAAAACAGACAAATCTTCAGGAGAGGTTTCAGTTCACCTTAGCAGTGGTAAAAATATTGCTTTATTCCAAATGAATATACAACACAATTTACTGTTCTTTTGGGGGCTTCCTATGAACTGAATGAACCTGGGTATGTGATTTCAACAATTTATTCTTTCCATACTAACCACAGAAGCCAGTACCTTGGTCCATATGTGGTAGACTTGCTATAAAATAAATAGCAATGAGGATGATTAGAAGGCAATCTGGTAACTGCCAATTTGATAATCAGCTTGTGTAAATAATTTAAGTACCCATGATTCAAAATAAACACACATCCTCAATTAACTTGCCTTGAGATACTGATATCGTTAATGAGCCAATAGTTTTTCCTCTAAAAGTTTTCCCGTTAGAAAATGATCTAGACACTGTCAAAAGTTTTAAAGGATCCTGCCATGCAAGTGACCTTAGTTTCAGAACTCACTAACTGAACTTTATACTTAGTGGAACAATTTTAAGTGAACAGATCTAAGAGGGAATTTTTTTTCTGGATAGTAGATTCCCTGACGTCTCAGAACAAAGTATAGCAGGCTGAATACACACACACGCGTACTCACACACACTATGAGCTCACATGTGCATACAGCATATCAGTGCTCATGTGAGCAAGCCCACACGCTCACATGTTCACATGCTCACACACATGCTCACACACACACACACAGAGGCACGCACACACGGAGAAATATTCCTTTGGAGCCCCTAAACAACCTCAAAGAAAAACATTTCTCTTAGCATGATTTTAGTGACACAACATTGTGATTTTTTTTCGTCTCTTTTCTACAATAATGCCATACCTCTCTCTGAGATCCCACATCTTCAAATTTCAGAGGCAGATGGCACATAGCGTAGGTGAGGTTGCCCCCGATCACTCTCTCTCTCCTGTCCTCTTTCCCATTCCAAAGTCTTTGTGCCATTCTTTGAGAATCAAGTAGGAAACACTGCATTTGTTGACATGGCATAACCTGTGATAAGGCTGTCAGTCGAATAGAAATTTAAGGGTTGGGACTGGCAAGGTAAATGGTAAAAGCCGCCTGCTCACTGGTACCTCCACCATCAGTATACTACTTGTCTCTTTGAAACGTGTAGCCACCAGTGCTTTCTTATGAGGACACTGGGGCTGTGGGGCTGTGTCTGGATTGCCCACATACATCATCTTAAAGCCAAAGAGGACAGTGTTGGGACTAACTGAAATTGTACTCAGAATTCTACCCAAAAGCTTTAGTTATAAGCTTTATCCCTCCTGAAACATTTCTTTCCCTTTAAAAAAATATTTTGTTAAAAAACACTATGACATGAGGGCGATAGACTATTTGGTTTCTTCTAAGTAGATGCTGTTAAATTAATGCATATAAATAATTTGTATTTAATTTCCTCTCTTTCCTGTTGAGCAAAGCACAGAACGCACAGATTCTTATATCTCAAGTCACTTGGTCGATGCCGAGTCTCTTTGTATTTCATTTCTTAAGACAAATTGTGCCACTCGATCTGATTTGGCTGTGGGGCTCAGGGGGAGAAAGGCTGTGTTTTCACTCACACTGTCCTCAGTCTCTACGCTGGCCAGTTCGTAGTCTTCTGACCGCCTGGAATCAGTCAGAATTCGGATCTGCTCCTGGACAGTTTCTAGCAATGTTTTCACTTCTTGTTGTTCTGCTATAAGACAATCACTGACTGGAATACTAACATTGACAAGATCAGCAGAGTAGGAGTTTTTGCACCATTTGATGCTTTTGACTTCAGAAATCCCTGGCATTTGCATGCAGGTTTCCTCTAGACCCACTGAAGGGATGATGGGCACAGAACTGGCCCTTGTTGATGAGTATCCCACCAGGTCCTTTTGATCCAAGCTTTTAAAATAGGGGTTTGTCTCTCTTGAAGGCAGTTGCATATTTATTGAAGCACTGTGTTGGGTTTTTAAACCACTGGACTGGTACCTGAAAAAGAAACAAAGTGTTACATACTCTGCTCTCTGTTGCCCTTTTTCAGAGCAATATCCAATCGACAAATCACTTTCCACATGCACCATCTCACTGAATTCTCACAGCAACCCCATGAGACGGAGAGGATGTTCCCAGTTAAACAGAGAAGGAAACTGAAGCTCAGGTAGGTGAGGTGACTTGCCCAAGGTCACACAGAAAATAAGTGACAGACTGAGACTCAAACCCAGGTCTCCTTACTTTAAGTCCAGGGAGCTTTCAACACACCACAGCTGTATAGGCAGGTGGGATATAATCTTCCTGACCTCTATCCTAGAATACAAAGTAAATAGGGATTGAGCAGGTAAGTGTGTCCTTCCCATTGTGACAAACAGGAAACCCATAAAGTCATCACTCATCACTCTTACCACCCTCTCAGCCCTGGTTTTGTCCAGTGGACTTCTTGGGACCACTTTCTCTGAAGGCAATGAGGAAGCCTGACCTAGAGTATCAAGGTACTAAAGTGCTGAGTATTTCTGCTTCATTGATTTTAGGGGATCTGAATCCAATCTCCAATGGGACACTGACCCACTGCCAGATTGCTGAGTCTGGGGATTGGAGTGGGAGGCACACATTTCTTCTGTCTCTCTGGGGTTGAATAGGAAGTGGCCACCATAGGGTCTCTACCAGCCTGGCAGCTTTCGTCACCACTTTCTAGAGCCACACAAGGCAACTGCACTGGAGCACAGCAAGAGCTTGTCAAGAGTGCCAATGTGCCATTCCAAGTAATCTGAATACGTCAGAATCTACCCAGTGCAGAATCCTGTTCAGAGCTACTGAATTTGCCTACTCTGAGCTTTCCAGTGCCAGAAAGTGAGACAGGTATATCATAGATTCATAAAATGTTGTTTTGGGACATGAACGGTAGTAGGTTTTTATTATATCACTCAATTACTTGGCCTTAATTTAAATACTAAATTAAATATTAAAGTTTAAAAGTAATTTAAGCATATCTACCCTGAATACAGAAACCCTGGTGGCATAGTGGTTAAGTGCTATGGCTGCTAACAAAAAGGTTGGCAGTTCGAATCCATCAGGCACTCTTTGGAAACTCTGTGGGTCAGTTCTACTCTGTCCTATAGGGTCACTATGAGTTGAAATCGACCCGATGGCAACAGATATACCCTCGGTATAATAAATCCCATTCCCCTTGACTTACATTATATTTTAAATAACGAAGCAAGTTTATATGCATACAGAATAATTATAATGTAGTATGGTGCATGCTAAACAGAAGTCTCTAGGATAAGGACACAATGGGAGCAATTTAAAGGTCTTTCTCATCAGACAGTGCACAAAGATAAGGAACAGATTTAGGCATCTTTGCAATTCCCTCCCTTCCTGTCATGGCTGGCACAGAGTTGGCAATCAATAAACGGAATGAATGCATAACTACATGAACAAATCTTCAAGATAAACACTCCTTTTATGTCCCAGTTAACATCCATTTTCAAACTTAATAACAACAGCTAACATTTGCATAGTGCTTTGTAGTTTAAAAGCAATTTTGCCTCTCATTACATCATTGAATTTTCACGAGTGATTTATTATTGTTATTATTATTACCATGTAATGGATGAATAAACAGAGCTAATGGGCACTCAAATGACTTGCTCAAAATTATACCATTAGTAAGTGGCAGAGGAAGAAGTTAAACTGAGTTGTCTCATTCTAATCATTACTACCAAAGCCAGAGGGTCCTAATGAATGGTCATCCCAAAGTACACCAGATATATAATCTTTACCTGTGCAAACTGAGTAGCCACCTGTAAGGAACACCCTGGGATCTCACTCCTTTCTGTTTAGTGTTATATGACTAAAAATCTGACTCTAAAAGTTATGATCAATGAATCAATTTCAAAAAGAAGGAAGGGGGCAAATTTCAAGCACACATGTTCTGTCCTCAGCGCCATCTTGTTAACATCATTAATATGTGTGAATATATAGAATGGCTGCCTACCAGATTTACACAGCCAAGAAATATACTAGTATAAAGTTATATTGCACATAACTATCAACAGAGTATATCAGTAGAAGGAACCTAGTAAGATGAAATGTTATGGTGATATATGCAAATTCTTACACCTGGATCCAAAAATTATTTGTACAAATCTCAGATAAAGTTGTAAATACCTTAAAGGATTTGGTAAATTGTAGATTCAATCAGTCAATAATATGATATGACTATGAAATAATCAATGACAATTCAAGCCAAACTTGGAGCATTCCTCTAATATACCAGACTACAGAACTGAGAGAACCATAGACTAAATCATGGCAGAGAAGAGCAACAATGCCCAACCATGCTGGGCTTTATACAGCTGAAGGACTTAGATGAGAAAGAGAATTTGTAGTTAATTATTATGTATTACTTCAAAAGCCAGATATTGAACACATTGCTGGAAAAACCTGAAATCTAAAATGATACCATGACATGAAGATGGGGCAGAAACAATTAGAACTCTCCAAAAGTGTGATTTTTGTTTGGAATCAGGCATGATTTCAAGTCCTCATGCTGTTGCATGCTTTGGGATCTCAGACACATAACAGCCTCTCTGAGCTTTCATCTTCTTATCAATGAAAACAACCAGGCAGTAATATTGACTTCAAGGGGTTGCTGTGAGGATTAATTAAAATAATGCATTTGCACTGTTTAACCAAAGGTGCATCTGGGGTCCTCATGTCCTTCCTAGAGCTGCTGTGAGTGCCCCAGCACTAAGTATTCGAGCAGAAGCTGAATGTTAGTCTCCAGAAGATTAAGCAGAAGCTAAATTTCTAGATGTGATTCTGGATTAAAAGACACTCAGAGTTCTGTATCCCTTTGAGAGCCAATGATGCTTTCACAAGTTTGATCCATGAGTGTGTCATTCATTGAGTTCCTCTCATCACTGAATAAAGAAATCACAAGTGCATTTATTCTATAAGTATGTGTTGCAGTGGTTAAGATGCTCAGCTGCTAACTGAAAGGTTTGTGGTTCAAACCCCTCAGCTGCTCTGTGGGAGAAGGATGAGGTTATCTGCTTCCATAAAGATTTACAGCCTTAGAAACCCTACGGGGCAGTTCTACTCTGTCCTATAGGGTTGCTATGTGTTTATAGGTACTCAGTATTTTGTAGTTCCCTTCTACCTTGAACGTGTGAATTTAACTTTTTTGATTCTGTTTGTTTCTGTCTAGCATATGATTACATTAGTTTGATTTGCCTGACATAACCTAGTTCAAAGCTCCGTGAGCCACTGCTATGGTTTTGGCCAGTCCAGGTCTCCAATTAGGAGAAGGACTCCCCAAGAGTCTCCCCACCACCTCATTCCTTCACCAGATGGCTGATGACTCCAAGCTGGGCTGAAGTCAATGCCAACCAGAGAAGCCACACACACTGGGAGCTTAACTGGCAGACTGCACCCACATGCTTGGCAAACAAAGATGGCTGATGGCTCTTGCAAATCTCCCTCCAGCCTAGGGCCAGATTTGAAGAGGGCCTTGAGCTGTGAAATTCCATTACCAATCCCATTTTCAGTCTAGAGAAGCAGCCAGTTGTCCAGGAGTGGAAAATAGCTGTTTTCCAGAACTGAGAATGAAATTGCTCCCTGCGATTCATCGTGCGGAACACATAGTGACTTAGAGTCACCATTTAACAACATCTGGTGCATATCACACACAGGAAAAATCCATGTGGCCAGCTGGTTTGGCAGAATATTTCTAACCCACTGGTGATTGAATCAAAACAAAACCACCACCACACAGACAAGAGGTGCGAGTCTCAGGAGTTAAAAAAAACAAGCAATGGGAACCTCTGAAGGTCTGACGCTATGTGATTGTGTGGTTCAAGCCTAGGGCGAGAACAGGTTCAGAGCATGCTCACCCCGGGAGATATGGAGTGATGGTCGTGCCAGTCTCCAACAGAGAGGCAACATGGGCTGGGTTCCTCTTCACTAATAAAGTCCCCAAGCTTGATTTCCGCTCACCCATTCTCACTCTAGCATTCACTCCAGACATTACAAGCAGGTTCTGCTAAATATCATCTCCTTTGGCAAAGAGAAAATATCTATATTCCTAAGTAGCAGACATCATGAATGATTTAAAAAATAAATGATTAACCATTATTAGTTGTAATTATAGGTTAAATGCAAGCCCCTTTTCAGAGACAAGGCAAACTGCTTCTTGACTTACATTATACATTTTGGAAAATTTGGCTGTTATGTTGAATTTGCAACTGTCACTCCAGATCTATACCAAATGCACTTGGCAGTCCATTTGGAATTGCTTCAAAATCACAAATCCAGTCACAGGCTATTTATTTCCTGTCTTCTAGCCTTCCTAAAGAAATGTGTGGCTGAGCTTTGTCCAATAGAGAGAGCACAGTTATGTATATCCCAGGCTCAGAGCAAAGAGAGAAAGATGAGGCAACATGACAGGCCTCCTGCCTGCTTGGGCCTTCAGCTTGTTGCAGGCAGTCTGGGAAAATCACCCTGCCAAAGCAGAGAAGACCCCTGCTTATCTCTTCCAGAGAGTTAAATATGGGATGCAACAAGAACTTGGCTTGAGTGAGGAAGCTGGCTCCTGAAATTTCTGGAGTCAACCTTAATTTCATTGCGCTTAAAATTAATGACAACACCATGATGATTCCTGTGACAACAAATACCAGTACTTCTCTATTTACCACGTGCCAGGCTCAAGCTGTTTAAACACACACACACACACACACACACACACACACACGCACAATCTGCCCAACAACCCACAGGGAGGCTGGAATTATTTTGTTCAGTTTATAGGTGAGAAAACTTAAGCTCAAATGATAGAACTTTCCTAAATTTACAAAGTAGTAAGGGGCAGAGATGGAATGTGAACTCAAATCCACTTCAGTAAGGGCTGCCATGATGTGGTTTATGCCCAGTGGGTGAACGGTGGTTAACAACCTAGCCTTTCCTCAGTGTGCCGTGTGCCCTGTGAGCACCTGTTCCCACCTGGAGGAAGGGACACCTTGTTCATTGTGAGGACGAGCAGCGGCCGTGGTGACTTCCTTCGAAGCCCATCCCCCAACCTCTGTCCTCTCAGGGAACACAGAGGTCTGAGTTCAGCAGATGGTGCTTTGGTCTTTGGTCTGATCATTGAATGAGACAAATTCAAGAATTCTCCAGGGAAGTAGATAATGTATATGTGTCATAGGGTATCATTTAGGATATTGTCCACAATGCTCTTCATAGGATTAAGTAATTTATTGCAAACATAAGGATAAGGGACCATTTTAGTCCTACTAAGAAACCTCTCTTTTTTAAATCAAAGCTAAATCCCCAGTTGTTTTAGTAACTGTATAATAACATATTGCCCAGATATCTATAGGCATCTATACACTTACTTTCTTCCTAGGCTTATATTTCTTTTCAAGCTAACATCTCCCTAACACTGCATCATACCTGTTCTCTTAAGTTAGCTCGCCTTGTGTTGGGACAAGGATGGTAGTCAGCAAAAATAACCAAATGATGAAAAAGTACCGTTGAATGAAACCCAAAAAGTCATTATAATTCAACTTAAGGATATAACATTAATGACACTCTCTCTAAACTCCATTGCCTTTAAGACCTACCCTTGACAAGGTATTGTATCCTGGTCTGGGATCCTTGATTCTTCGAGTTGCTGATATGCTGGTCCCACGAGTCCACCCAGCCGACTTCGGGGCGAGGGGGGTGTCCTTCTGAAGGCATTCCTGTGGAGCATCCCACTCCTTTGTCCTGGGCTGCAGCAAGAGGAGAGACTCCTGCTGGGGTTAAAGGAAATCAAGAAACAAAAGAGATCATGGCAATAACCTCATCAGAGGCTGCTCACACTTGTCAAAAGACCCATTTACACCCCAGATGCTCCAAGTGCTGGCCTGCAGCCATCCATGGAATGCAGTGTTTGTGCTAGGATTGGATCAGGAGTGGATTAATCCATTTCACCCTTGGAGATACTGAGACAGAGATGTTTCTGTCTTCCTGGCTTTCCTGTTTGGAGCACAACTGACTAAAACAATTGGAGCTTTCCAGGTAAAGATAAAAGATGGGCTTAAGGAATTCTCAAGAACCAGATTCCAATTCAACTAAAGCCTGATTTTCCAAGCCACAGTAGTTGTCTGCTTATTAGAAATAAAGATGACCTTTTTATTAGACACTGATAAGAACTTTAACATAGGAACCCTGAAGGGATTTATGGGGGAAATTGTCACTTGTTTTAGTGATAGATTAAACAAACCTTATTTTAATTGCCATTCTCTTCTTAGCATATGTGTTAAATTCCCAGTTCATTACTTGAGATTTTCATCAGTCTTGAGAAACTAAATTTTAACTTTGCTTTTAATAAACATTTCATTATATATTTTATTTGATTCATACAATCAAATACCCAAATAACTATGTTTTGTTAAAGAAGAAAATTAATAACAGGCCTCTTACTTTGATTTTAGGGTTTCTGTCATCCACAAAAACAAATATTAACCATAAAAAGCTTGACCCAAACTACAAAAGCCTGCCAGAAACTGCTCTACAGCAATGTAAATTTGTCTTTTCCTGCTAGAAAAGGATAGTCAGCAAAACCATTATCACTTGATTTAATGAAAAAGACTCCAGGCTCTCCTAATTTAAATCTCAAAAAAATCTCATGACTGCAGGTGGGTAGAGGGCCAAATTATTAACAGCCAGACCAAAAGTAACCTGGTATCAGTTGATCTCAGTAAAGGGGGAAGGACAGGGTTCAACCATGTTAAGATTAGTTAGTGGTTGATATTCTATTCTTTTCCCTCCTCTTCTCTGTATAAGCTTCATTGCAACTAGCAAACTTTGAGCCATTTTGCATTTCTGTAGAATCAGAATGGTCTCCTTATATGCATATGGAATAACTGCTCAAAATAAACTTTATATTTCAATTTTTTGAGTTTTCATTTTTTTTTTTTAAACAATCTGTAGATGTCATCAAAAGGCAAAAGGCATAAATGGGACATACCTTAGGTCCTAGCAAAGTGAGGCCCCTACATGGATCGGACAAAACAGAGGTACTAGACTCTATAAAAATCAATTGGTAATTTGAATCATTGCCTATCCACATCCATTCCCACCTCCATCCTGCTGAATTCACCCAAACTACCTCATATACTGGTGAGAAGAATTTGGATACTGTGTATGTGGTCACTCTGACTCTGCAGTGTTCAAACAATAAGTGAACTAAGAATTTTGGGCTTCATCCTCATTTAACTCTGAAACATCAATACAACTATATAGAGAAAGATAAACACTATTTTCGAAATTTCGATATATCTATCACGTTCTAAAGGGGCAGTCTCCCAAAGGAATATTACCTATATTGCTACATTATTTGCAGTTTTGTAACTTTGTCCCACCAATAATGGTGTTATTTCTACTTAAGAAATACAAAACACAACTTTCTCAAATCTTTCTCAACTATTAGTTTATGTCAGAATTTGAGAAAGTAACATTTGAGTGCTAGTAGCCACTATCCTGGTTTTGGCAAGGTGACTAATCAAATTTTACATTCCTCAAGCCAATTCAAACTTCTGGAGTTTGTGCAAACACTGGATCATATTTGACAACATCACTATACCTTCATTCTTTATCATGGTATTTAGGACTTCACCAATTAACCTGTTGAGCCCTAAAATCCCTAACAGCAAGGGGCTTCTAGTTAAGTGACTAAGTCAACAAGTTAGAAGAACTCTCTAGTAGCTAAGGAGCCCTGGTGGTGCAGTGGTTAAGAGCTTGGCTGCTAACCAAAAAGTCAGCAGTTCAAATCCATCAGCTGCTTGTTGGAAACTCTATGGGGCAGTTCTACTCTGTCCTATAGGGTCACTGTGAGTTGGAATCAACTTGATGGCAATGGATTTTTTCTAGTGGCTAATCTGTGTCCCTCCCTTCCTGCTTCTGCCTACATCATCTATAGGCAATAATGTAGACCTTAGGACCATGGGATCTTGGGTGCTGGTGCCTCTAGGTTCCAATCTTAGGTCTGTATGTTAATAGCAGCATGATGCTGTGGGAGGTACTTGTACCAGTCAGAGTCCTGGAGGGAGAGAGATGGTACTTCAGATTGGATAATTTGAGGAGAGAGAGTGTACTATTTACAAAGGTCAGCATTTAGAATGCACCTGCCTTGGAAACCCTATGGGGCAGTTCTACTCTGTCCTATAGGGTTGCTATGAGTCAGAATCAACTCCACAGCAACAAGTTTGGGTTTTTTTGTTTGTTTGTTTTTTAGAGATACTACTGTACCCCAGGGCTAGTAACAATGGGAAGCCATTCCTATCCTTCTGACTGAAGGGACAAGAAATGAGCAGTTACCTGAATGCAGAGAGAAAGTGAGTTGTAAGGCGGGGATGACCTGGCAGGTGCCATGACCCCAGGAAAGGAGACAGAGATGAGGTGACCAAGTAGAAAAGGGGGCAGAAGTGCGGTGCCCTTTCCCTCCCCTCCTCCACCCTTCCAACTCCTGCCAGTACTTTACATTGTTGGAACCAATAGAGGCCAGAGAACAAGGGGGCTGCTGACCTGTGAGTGTGCAGAGTAGTGCAGAGAAAGGTGGCGGGTAGACCAGGAGGGAAAAGGGAACATATAAGCACCATTGTTATTTCCACAGGATTATTACTGGGGTTAAAGGAGATAAGGTATGCAAAGTGTCTTGCAGGGAGGCAGGCTCCTAGTAGGTACTCAACATGGTACATTCCCTCTGGTTCCTCCACCACAACTGACAACTCCAAGAATGATTAAAAAAAAAACAAAAACAACAAACCATTTCCGTCGAGTCGATTCCGACTCATAGTGACCCTACAGGACAGAGTAGAACTGCCCCATAGGGTTTCCAAGGAGCAGCTGGTAGAGTCGAACTGCTAACATTTTGTTTAGCAGCTGAGCTTTTAACCACTGCACCACCATGACACCATCACTAAAAACTCTAGATTTCTTTTACACTAAAAAGCCTACATTTTTTTTTATAACTGAGTTATATTGCCAAATATAATGTAATAGGACATGCCATAAAAAAATTTCTTCTTTATAAAGGGTTTTTTTTTTTTTTTGACCACACATTAGATACATGGTGTGGAATTAATAGCTTTGTGTCACAAATGAGTTATCCAAATGGGTCGTATCGGCAATGCACAAAAAGAAATTAATTATTCATAGCTTGCTAAACTGTCACAACAACAAAGTCTACCAGTGTGAAGTAGTGACCGAGCTTAAAACACAGCTACATACCTATGGATCAATCAACTATTCAGGCCTCCTAACCCAGTAGCATTCAGGAGTTATGGAGCAGTTTACAGGCTACATAAATCAGTGACCGGGTTATCAATCATGAAAATATTTAAGTCTACTGTATGTTTTACAAAACAAAAGCTATAATATATTAAACTATGATTACAAATTTTTAAAAGCACTTTATAAATCAAACCTCAGTTATCTATCAAGACCCAATGTAAGCCAACAAATACTCCAGTGTCACTGAACCAAAAAAAGGAAGGTCTCTTCAAGACTTTCTGATTTAATCTGAGTGACTCCTAGAAACTACAGAAGCAGCAAAGTTTCGGAGGGGACATACATACTGTCAAGCAGTGGGAAAGAAAGGGGCTACAATCCAAATACTTTGGAGGCTGTATTTTTTTAAATCTTAACTTTAAAATTGTAATGACATAATATATTCTAGAGGAATATTATATTGAATTATTTTATTTGGCTAGGTGGAATACGACATTAAAATGTGTTATAACCAGCGGGAGAAAATCGGATTTTGGAGAAAATATCCGTTTTATAAAAGGCTAGTAATTTAGGGCTTATTTCTCTAATTAAGATAAACTTCCATTAGGCCTGGTAAAATGAAATGCTCCATTCACAGGAAAATATTCTGTAAATGCCACAACTGATATAAACTAAAACTTGTAGTTGATAGTTAAAGCCAATTATCCAAGAGCCAAACATATTTCAGTCCTGAGGTTAAGATATGTAAGCCAATTTTTTTTTTCTTTTAATTTAGCAAACCCTTAGTATCTCACTCTGGTCATTTAAAATGAGAATAAAAATCACCACTTGAAAGTAAATGTGGCCAGAAACAATAAAACTGTTGCCATGTGACTCACTGAGAGGGGGGCTGTGTTTTAAGCTCAGTCACTAGTTCACTTTCTTGTGCAATGCCCGTTCCTGCCACGGTGAGCAGAGCTTGGGAGGAATACATGGAGGAATACATGAAAATAAAGGGTCAACCACACTGATCTTTCACTGCGAGGAACAACTGTTATTTATATATATATTTTATAATCTTATTTATTTTCAAATACTGTGCTTCTCTTCAGAAAATTTCCACAAAAATTGAGAATATACATTTGGATACACAAAAATATTCGTTCTAGCATTAGTCCTAGACTGCCATTTGACCTAGAACAAAATGCCTTTAAATCTTGGAGTTTCAGATTTCTCAACTGTAGAACGCATGGTGTGGACTAGGAGATGCTAAAGACCCATTCAGCTTCAAAATGACATGAACTTTATCAAGTAACTTTGTTTTTGAATTTCTCAACAAAAGAGTCAATTACTTGGTCAGCTTGTAATAGAGTGTTCCCCACTGAAAATAGAAGTCCGTAGATCGAAGAGGAGATTTGCCAGTCTTCGTCTCCTGGAATGTCGTCTTTGTGTGAGAACCTGAGGCATGTCACTGCAGCTGCCCAAGGAAGTCATTAACTTTGCCAAGGGAGATGAGGCAGCATAAGAAAAATCATGTTTTTAATAGTTTTTTGGAATGCAGTTGTTTCATTCACTGGTCAGCGTCTATAGTTATGAGAGGTGTTGTTAATAGTTACTCTGGGCTTTCTACAGGGACATTGCTGTCTGATGGGCGAAGCTGGCATCGTCAGTCTACCTGCTGTGATGTGTTGGAGCCTCTGCTTCATGGAGAACTATAGGAGAAGCAAGAAGGATCATCTCTCCTGAGTAACGTTGCCATGCTTGGCACGTGTTTTCTGTTATACACAGCGTAAATGCACCCACTCCCACCAGGATGAGCTACGTGTACCTGTGGTGTTTGACAGATTGGCTTCCTCTGTCAGAAGAAGGGACATCCGGGAAGGACTGGGGGCCAGCAAAACTTGACTCCATCATTTTCTCCAATGCCGTCACAGGATGCCTTTCCACCTTGGAATACTGGGAGGAATCACATGGACAGAGGTGAGCTGAGGATAAGTTATGAGAGGGGACTAGCACACTTTACCTAGGTATAGAAGAGTTACCAGAAGATCAGTTTCTACTGAGACACCCAATCAGAAGAATGATAGATACAACAGGTTGCATCTTGTTTTTCACACATTCAATGTGCCACTATCCCAACCTGTGATTAGATAAGGTGCATTCAGGAGGGTCTTCACTTCAGAACTCTGAGTCTATTTTCTCATTTTCATCTCCACCTGTGGCATACAGCTAAAATCCTCTATGGGTATGTTTTCTTCTATTCACATTTAGTAAAAAAAAAAAAGCAAAAAAAGCCTTTGCTGGGCTACTAATAATAGGGGTTTAATAGATACTGTTGAATGAACCGCATGACTTTGTCAGAACTAGAGAGGATACTGATTCAGAATCCTGCCCATCCTCTCCACAGTCTAAGTCTAAGAAGAGAACCACATGCAAATGTCTCATTCTTTATAGTTCTTAACTCTTAGTTTCACCTTTGACTGCAATATGTCATGAGACCCTGAAGCCTGAAGAGATGACACTTTAAGAAAAATTTTGCTCAGTGGAAACATCACTTGGCATCTCCACCAGCCAGTAAATTGCCAAAGTCAACACTTCCTGGCTAACTGGCAAGTGATCAAGCAGTAAGAGATTAGCTGGCTTCTCTTCTAGAAACTCTAGATGGAAACTATCACCAGAAATGATACTTTCAGAATGTTAACCAAACTTCAGAGATTTTGGAATCCAGATATGCAGTATCCAATGAATCATCAAGCTGCAAGTGCTGTTCTGAGCAAGTGTAAATCTTACAAGTTTTTTTTTTCGCACTTCAGAAGTAAAGGAGGTAAAGGAGCTAGTATGATTAGAGTCACAAACAAAAAAAATTAAGTTAATCAATCTTTCTGAATCTCAAGTCTATATAATAGGATAATAATAACTCCCTTAAAACCTGCTGCCATTGAGTCAATTCCAACCCACAGAGACCCATAGGGTTTCCAAACTGTAAATCTCTGTGGAAGCAGATGCCACATCTTTCTCCCACAGAGCTGCTGATTGTTTCAAACTGACTTTTAAAAAATATTAATGAGGTAATACTTAATGTAATGGAGCCCTGATAGCACAGTGGTTAAGCACTCAGCTGCTAACCAAAAGGCTGGCAGTTCAAATCCACCAGCCGCTCCTTGGAAACCCTATGGGGCAGTTCTACTCTGTCCTGTAGGGTCGCTATGAGTCGGAATCTACTCGATGGCAATGAGTTTAAAATACTTAATGTACGTGGACAAGGTGAAAGTAAGAGTAGCTCTGGTAATGAAGATGGCTCTGTAAGACGTTGTCTAGTCTTTACTATAAGAAAACAATGTGTACCTGGAATGGTGAATATATCCAAATCTAAGTGCTATCTCTAACTGGTATGGCTGCTTGGAATCTCATGTTTACATACATTCTAAGGATGATTTAGGGAATAAAATCTAAAAATAGTATTATAACCAGAAGAAAAATAAATCCAAGAGGAAAGTGTGGATTACATTTTATTGGAAAATCTTTATGTAAATTTTAAAACTAACACTTTGAGCCTGAGGTTCAAATAATTTCAACATGGCTGAAAGTTCAGATGAGAAGAAAGAAGAAGATAGAAGCATGATATATATAAATCCTCACTGTAGGTATTGAGGAGCCCTGGTGGTGCAGGGGTTAAGAGCTCAGCTCCTAACCAAAAGGTCAGAAGCTGGAATCTACCAGCCACTCCTTGGAAACCCTCCAGGGCAGTTCTACTCCATTCTGTAGGGCTGCTGTCAGTTGGGATTGATTCCATGGCAACGGGTTTGTTTCATTTTTTTTTTTTTGGTAGGTATTAAAAATGGGGTTAATGTAAGAATATGAATGTTTATTAAGTTTAGACATTGAAAGGAAAAATATTTAAGTATATATCACAATTATATATCACTAGAATATAAAATTTATGAATATAAAAATCATTAGAGGAAAAAAATAAATAAAAACATCATTATTAATACCAAAATAGCCAAGAATGGGGGTAGGGTTGTGTCAAGAGAGCATGGAAAATGGAAAATAAATATAAAATGGCAGGGATAAATTCACAGCCATCAGTGATAAACAATAACTGTAGAAGGGTTAAATGTAAATATAAAAGACCAAGATTCACACATTGAGTCTTTTAAAAATCCAGTTATATGCTATCCAAAGGGGAAAAAAAATGCTCACTTAAAACAACAGAGAAAAAGATTAAATAGAATGGACAAACATGTAACCACTGTGCCACCAGGGCTCATATATTAGATCTTTGTTACTTTGGGTTGTTGACAACAACCACCTTTTTCAAATTATCTCCATACCTTCTTTTTGCTCTGGGTAAATTTATTACATTTTACATGAAGTCTGACCAGCTTCTACAAGTCCAAAACTAAAAATCCAAACCCGGTGCCAATGAATAGATTCCAACTCATGGCGTCCTTATGTGTTACAGAGTAGAATTGCCCCATAGGTTTTCATGCCTGTAATATTTAAGGGAGGCAGATCGCCAGGCATTTCTTCTGCGGCACTGCTGGGTGGACTTGAGTTACCAACCTTTAGGTTGGTAGCCCAGTGCAAGCCTTTGTACTACCCAATGACCTTGCTGAGTCCATTCTGTAGAATTCAGATTCTTATTCGAGATGTGGTCATTACTGCCACTATGTGGTTGGTTTTTTAAGTAGTTACAAAGAAGACATTTAGTTTGAAATCTTGAACTTAAAGGTATATAACCTTGACATTTTCCTTAGTCCTATAGGCCATATCCACCAACATCCTTTCCCCCGAGATAATCCTGCTAATAGTTTATTCTAGGGTTTTGTTTTGTTTTCTAATCTGCATTCAGAGTGGTTGTATGGGAAACAAACATCCACACACACGTGTGTGTATATACATACAAAAATATATATGTATATATGTACCCCATGCATGCTTCTTTATTGATTAATTAAAATTGCTCATCACAAATCTTCCATGAGAAAAGTAAAGTGATGGACATGTTCACTGAAATGGAACCAACATCCTGAGTTTCTATGTGACTTCCGGGTTCTGTAAAAGACATCTTAGATTTTTTTTCACCCTCTTAATAGTTTTAGAAGGCAAACTCAGATGCCTGGAGAGTCTAGCTACAGACACAAGAGTGATGATGTGGAGTCACCTGTGGTAAGCTGAAGTAGGAAGACTTCTGCTCAGCTTCTGCAGGGGGCTATCAGGGAACAATGCTGGCCAACTGTGTGTTGAGTATCCAGACATTCTAGACAAATTATTGAATCTTTAAAAGTCAGCAGCCCATCCATCAATTTGTTTATTTGTTTATTTAAATCAAAGCATATCAAAAGCCTAATACAGCTTTTTGGCTACTAGTTCACAGACTCTGCAGTGAATGAGGTTTTTGATCCTGGGAGATGAAAAAACTTGTAAAAGTCATGAATAAAAATCTTGAATCAACTCTTAGTTATTTTGCTTCTTCACAGTGTTCACAAACAGATGTTGCGTTCTAAATCTTCTCCTTCAAGTGTTCACATTATTTTTACATTACACAGTTATAGATTATACAGTTGCTACCAAATGTACTATTTTGGCTCATTATCACAAATTTGCTTTCAAAATTTACTATGTTGGACTTTTTTCCTTTCACTGACAAACTTTGAGAACGCTTTTTATTTCAGTGACTGTATTTAACCTGAGATTTAAACTTAAATTGCTGATATTTGTACCAATGGTGGGTTGAGGCCCATAAGAGCACTAACAAACCTAGTAATCTAATAATGCTTCAAACTGAGATTCCATAAATATTGGTTAAAAATTAATTTACAGGAGGCTTCTGCTTTCACCTCTGACAAGTGAAGAGCTTAGAAGTCTCTTAGAAGTTTGGAAAACAGCTGAACAAACTGAAAATCAATGACTACTCTTGTATCTGGAGCCCTGGTGGCATAGTGGTTAAGAGCTCGGCTACTAACCAAAAAGGTCAGAGGTTCAAATCTACCAGTCCCTCCTTGAAAACCCTATGGGGCAGTTCTACTACATCCTATAGGGTCTCTATGAGTCAGAATCAACTCAACAGCACCTAATAACAACTCTGGTATTCATTAAATATTAAGAGTGCAGTGCAAACCACCTCCTTAAAATCTGGAGATATAGGCAGGTACAGGGAATCATAGCTGAGATCAGCTTACCTGCAATAGAAGCCGTGAACTTGTAGGGGTACTTAAACAGTAATTTTGATAAATTGTTGGAAACTGTGAGGACGAGAGTGAGAGTCCAAATATTCTGTGGTTGAAGTCTTAGGGAGTGGTACCCACACTTTCTTGAGTTTTACCTCCAGGAAACACACAAGATTCTCACCAAGAACAGCCAAACAAACAAAAATCTCCTGTCTGACAGGGAAAGAGGAAACGTAACCAACCATTTTGAAATGTGTCCAGAGTATTCTCCCTAACAATTGTGTACTCTTCAGTGAAAACCACTATCCCAGAGACTTATCTCACCTGGGAGAAGGGACTCTCCTCAACTCCCGTATTCTCTAGCTTTTCTGTCTTACCTACTAGGGGTGGAAGGTGAAGAAACACTTGTGAAGTTCATATCCCGGTAATACAGACCCACTAAAAGAGTGACATTTAATCACAAGATTATGAAATAGTTTCCTTCCCCCACTTCGTAACACTGCATAAACAGGGCTCTAGCATAATAATAGTGGATTACAGCTGAAAGGGTTGTAAGACACAAATTCTATTTAAGAAAGAGTTCTTAAGGAAACCCAAAGACAACAGTGGAGAATAAGAAATAAGGATACTGGGGGATTTTAAAGACGCTGGAACCTACAGCTGCAGCAAAAATGAAACAAAGTCCAACTCCTAGCCAAAGTAGCATAAAATGTTACAACAACGGTTTATTTATCTCAGTCCCTATTACCCAATATATTATGTCTGCTTTTCACAAAACAAGAC